ATTATAAAACATTTGTTAAATATTTTTATAATGTATAATTGTGTATACAATTCTGACAATCATAAGCAGTGTTCTTTTGCAATAAAAATGAAGCTCTATGGTCAACAAATTAAAGTGTTATGACAGTCAAATTGAGTGATGGACACACAGCCCTGTCAAGTAGTCTTACTTACGAAATTTACTCATATCTGTCAGCACTTGGAAATTTTAACTCAAATCAAGTCAAAATAGACAACCGGTAAAATACCATGTTATACACTGTTGTCTAGCGCAAATTTAAAAAATAAAAACATTTAAGAGAGAATCAAGATATACTGATGAAAAGATAAATATACAGAGAATGAAAAGAGATATAAAAATTGTAAATTGCATTCTCCTGTATTTATGGAGTTCTTTCATCTGGGAGTATCCTGCTGTTATCCAGGACTTTTGCTTTAAATAATTAAATTCTGGTAAAAATTGTACCTGTCTTTTAACAGCAGACTTTTTCCAATATTTTTTTCGAGGCATATTGTAAGCTGCAAAAACATAATTCATTTCTAGAATTATTGCAACAAGTTCATTCTCAACCTAAAGTATCACTTGTTAAGCTTTAGTTGAACAGAGTAATAACCAAAGAAAATATTAAATATTTGTTAATACATCCAATAAAAATAATAAAGTAAAATATAAATGTACCTAAAAATATGTAACACTTTATGGCTTGCGTTCAAGGGTTTAAAACAAAAGTTGCCGGTTCATCCTTGACACTCCACGTTTGTAACAAAGTAAAGACCTCAATTCCCCAAAATCCTAATCTACTGACTTCCTGTTTCGGTTCGTCTGTGAGAATAATTCACTCAATCGTTATTTTTACAGACAATATCAAAATGGCACGGCGTATTTGTCCAAATTCATACGTGGCACGGAGCAAATTTACATTCTCTCAGTCAAGCATACGTCACACACTGGTCAAAATCCCCCCCAAACATTGCCAGCAGCTAATCACACACTAGCTTTCCCTGACGATAATACTTAGCAACGTTATTTCCCCCACGCTAACTTGAAAAATCTTTTGTTTTTGTCTCGTTTCGTTTCCGGTCAAAAGAAGTACATACATTATGTAAATTGTATTTAACAAATAATCTACCACAAACATATATAATCATCGGAGGAATAATGTCACGAAATTTAAAAACACTAAAGTTCGACAAAAGTATTATTGTCGATGAATGTCACATGGAAATTAAAATCACGTCACGCGAAAAAGTAAGAACGTTTTTTTTTCTCGGAAATATCCGCTCAAAAATACACAAAACCAATGACAAAGGAACTCTGAGTTATTATGCAGTATATAGACGCATAAATAGCCGATAACGAACATATTTAAAGGTATATTTGATATAAAACTCTGAACTTACCATATAAAACGAAAGTGGCAAGAATCTGAAGAAAAAATGGCCGACTCGGTGGCTTTTGTTTACCGCAAAGGTTTCTGGGAAATGTAGAGCACCATCAATAATATTTCTGGATTCAACGTTGATGGCGCATTTTCCATGAAAAGTGCAGAGGTGGTTTATAAGTATTCTACTTATTAAATTCGGGTAAAAAATTTATCACATTTGCAGAATTTGTGACTTTGTACTTACCGGGGGTATTTAGAATTGTAAAACCCCAAAAGAACATTGTCCATAGGAATCCACTTCGAATAATTTTCAACAACTACAAATGCCTGTTTATAACTTATTTTTTTAATAACTCAATTTTGAGATACATGTACAAGACTTTTTTCCCATTCAATCCACTGGTAAATGATTCAGGATGAGCATTTTCTGAACAACATAAAATAAATCAAGAAAGTCTGATAATCGTGATAATTGATGCAAACTACTTTAAGATCACAACACAGGACATTCAATACTAATTCAATAATTGTTATTATTTTCTTTAAGATTTAATAATGACCTCAATATATACAAAGCATCACCACAATTACTTCAATTAAATGCAATTTAATGATCTTTACACGCCACTATTTAAATGTGAAGTAAAAGATTTTGTTATTATACTGACACATCCCATATCTGGAGCCAATATACATGTTGTTATTTTGTATAAATTATCATTTTATACCATTCTTTTTCTGAACCAGAGGCCATTTGTTGACTTGCCTTGCATTTATATATTGTACAAAGATAAAGAGGGTGACCCAAAGATTGGCAAGGGATTTTGCGTGTGGAAGATGTAAGAATGAAGTTAGAAGGGTGGTGGAACAGGAAGAAAAGTTGTGTGATGAGGTTGAGACAGTGAAGGAGTTTACATACCTGGGGGACAAGGTAAGTGTGGGTGGGGGGTGTGAGGCGGCTGTGACAGCTAGAGCAAGGTTTGCTTGGGTGAAGTTTAGGGAATGTGGAGAGCTACTATATGGGAAGAGATTTCCCTTGGAGATGAAAGGAATAGTTTATAAGAGTTGAGTGAGATCAGCATTGCTGTATGGGAGCGAGACATGGTGTTTGAGTGAAAATGAGTTGGGTATTTTAAGGAGGACAGAGAGAGCGATGATGAGAGTGATGTGTGGGGTGAAGTTGATGGACAGAAAGAAAACTAAGGACTTGATGCAGATGTTGGGTTTGAAGGAAGTGGTAGATCGGTTGGCGAAGGCAAATGGGGTACGTTGGTATGGGCATGTGCTGAGGAGGGAGGATGGGCATGTATTAAGAAGGGCCCTTGATTTAGAGGTGAGCGGTCCAAGGAAAAGGGGAAGGCCAAAGAAGACGTGGAAGATGCAAGTGGAGGAGGAGAGTGGGAAGGTTGGGATGAGGGATGCTTTAAATCGTGCAAAGTGGAGGTAAGAGCGATTGCCACTAGTTTAAGGTGGATCCGGCCACCCTCGTCTTCGGGGACCAAACCGGATTTAAAACTCATGGACTACTACTACACAGTATAATTCCAATAAATTTACATTTTAATCTCCCCATACTGCAATGATACATATAGTTAACTTTATTTGGAACTGTTCAGGATCATGAATACAAGTAATTTAAAGCAGATTTTGTTTCTACAAGTTGCAATAATTATAAAATAATACTTAATACCATCAGTAATTGTGTTCACTATTATTTTATGCAATCTGGTCATGAAAAAAGCAAATCTTAGACAGGCTCCAACATAAAATCAAGATGAGCTGTTTTCAAGATAAAAAAAAATACATTTGTATCACTTTTTTTGACAGAATTGAATATATCATCATGAAGTGAACAAATCTGAGATGTCCACCTGAGGTATATTATAGTATCAAAGTAATTGGACTTGCTGTTTTCAACATGAAATTGAAAATACCACTTTTTACCAAAAATGACAAAAACATTCATCAAAATTACAGGATTGAATATATTATCCTGAAATGAACAAATCTGAGTGCACTCTACCCAAGGTACATATACATCAAGTATCAAAGCAATCAGGCTTGTAGTTTTCAAGAAGAAGTCGAAAAAAGTAAAAAGTTGACACAGACAACAGCAACGGACAATCACACAAGTCGAAAGCAGAGCTAATAAAAAGAATTGCACACCTGTGATAAAAAAAAGAGGGTGGGATGGATGCGAGAGAAAACCACCACATCCGAGTACTGAATAAAAGAGGCCCAAAAAAACAAGGTTTATTTATTTATGCTAAAAGATCAGCATAATCAATATGATTGGTCACAATCAAAATATGCAAAGGGGCCCTCTAGCTCCCTTCTATTTAAAACTCGTTAACATATTAACTTTGTCATTTTTTGTTGGGTGATCCAACAATCATTTTTATAATAACAAGTCATCGTTAATGACACAGTCCCCGTCCAAAATTTTGTGATCTGACATATTAATTTGATGCTGAAGTATCATTGAGATTAGATTGAAACCATTAATAGGAGATGGATTTGTAAAAAATTATGATTTATGTGCTTTTACACGAGAATTGGACATTGGGCAGTCATATTGAATCAAATTACAAAAATAATGTTCATGTTGATGTATCTATTGGTATACTGTCTTTGTACAAAATTTAAACAAAAATGTTCATTGCATTCATGGGAAAGTAGGCACGAGTATCATGAAAAACAAAATGGCCACCAGTCACGAAAAAAAAATATGACGTGCACCTATAACCAAATATGTATGATCAGCATACCAAGTTTGATCCTAATCGGCCCAGTCATCTCTGAGAAACAGCTCCGGACATGTAAAAATGATGATTTAGTGCTTTTACATGAAAATTGGGCGTCGACCAGCCATATAAAATTGAATCACAAAAATCATGTTGGTGCAGATGTATCTCTTGGTATACTATCTTCAACAAAATTTAAACAGAAACGTTTATTGCATTCACGATAAAGTAGCATGGGTACCATGACAAACAAGATGGCCGTCAGTCGTCCATATTTGTTTGAATAACGAAAAAAGATGACGTGCACCTACAACCCAATAAGTATGATCATCATACCAACTTTGATTCAAATCGACCAAGTCATCTCCGAGAAACTGCTGCGAACACGTTTAGACATCAGAAATAGCAAATTTTACATCCAAAACGACTGCCAATCTGTCATTTTTGCTCCGATCATAAAGTAACTTGACACACATATGTAAGACATTATGTATTGTCTTCGTGTGAAGTTTGAATGAAATCTGTCAATGGGTGTCCGAGATATAGTACGTACATACGGATAGACAGACAGATGAAACAAACCCAAATTAATAGTCCCCGTTTTCGGACTTTGTAATAGCAGGATTATATGGTATCTATCATTTTGTCAGTATGCTAACAGTGTTAAGTTATACTTGATTTTGTAGTGTTGTTTTGTGTTCTTGTAGTTGTAATTTCAATATGTCTGTTGTTTAGTGTTAAAAGTCATTTAATACCCATAAAATGAATTGATACTCAATTCATATGTGTGAAGTACAGCCATATTACGGTAGTGTAATGCTTCTATGTGGTTGTATATCGTAATAAGGTAAAAGTTAATGTGGTATACTCACAGATTCTTGTTTTGAATCATCATCATTTCTGTTTACATACTTTTCATTAACAGATATACGCTTTCTAAGTGGAGATGGCCGACTACACATGAATGAATGAAATGAAATGAAAACAGGTTATTATTCTATGTAGTATGTAGACAAATGTGACCTACATATGATGCCACAATAAAGATTATCATAACAAATATATTGACTGATGCTTCCGGGTTTAAATTCAGTCACAAATATTATCCACTTCTGTCACAAATTAGTTTTAAAATTATGATTGAAAATTGAAAAAATATTAAAGATTTTGATTTTGTACGTTCTGGTCAATTGCAGAAAATATCATGAACAAACAGAATTATCAGAGAGCGTGCATGTGCCATTCAAGAATTATTTTGAAGTGCAAAAAAAACAAGCAGCCTATCGGCTGAGATAGCTCCGCTGTTAGCAATGCACATTTCAATTAAAGAACTGAAGACATCATTAGAAAATGAACAATATGTACAGTATCAAAGCAATCGGACTTACAGTTTTTAACAAGAAGTCGAAAATATCACTTTCTACCAAAAATGACCAAAATATTCACCAAAATTAGAGAATTGAAGATATCATCACGAAATGAACAAATCTAAGAAAGGTCTACATGTAGTATCTATATAGTAATATCAAAGCAATTGAACTTTTGGTTTTTAACAAGTCGAAAATATCACTTTTTACCAAAAATTACAAAAATATTCACCAAAATTAGAGAATTGAAGATACCATCACAAAATGAACAAATCTGAGAGAGGTCCAC